GAGAGGGGCAGAGTTCTTGTCCGTAGGGCTTAAGATGGCTGCTGTCATCCAGATGCCCAATCAGGAGGCTCCAATCAGCTCAACCAGACCAATCCAGTGTGTCCACCTGTTCTCCAGTACCTGCATACACTCACACACACACTCTAATGGAGGATAACAGCTGACAGTGCCAGGAGAGATAAACAACAAAATATGACCCCAGGGTCATAACAAGACCCTGATGGTCAATGACTTTCTGCCCTCATCCCTTCATATTTTTGGATTAGTTTCTCTCCCCATGAACCCTACATAAAGTCAAACATCAAGCTCAGTGCACAGTTCGACAGCGGATGCAAGGGAACACCAGGCCGGATTCTCTGTGGGAAATGAGTGAATCAACTGTGAAAGGTGACTCGAGCTGATCAGGGTCCTGGTGGGCCTGCACCCTTTCTTGTTCATTGGCAAGTAGCTGATTTAGGCACTTGGCTTGTGTTGATTCCCCTAGACATAACATGTGACGCAAGAAATTTTAAATACCAAAAAGAGTCATCTTTGGTATTATTTAGCTAAAGCTCACACATGTCCTCCTCTTGCCAGTCCATAGAATCTTTGTTCTTAACTATTTTGCCTGGTTAAATAAAGGTTAAAAAAAATCCAGAAGAGCCAAGATGCAAGTCAAAAGGAAAATGAGAGATTGTGAAAAGAAAAATCTTGATGAAGAGAGACAGAATGACCAAAGTTATTTTAATTATGGTGAACACTAACAGTTTCTGGGTCACATGAGGACTGAGGAACAATCAAATAAGGCAACTGATGTGTACACAGAAAGTCTGAGGATGAAGAGCGAGGTGCTGCCTGTGTCACCATGACAACGCTTTTGGATTTAGTTGCAACTACAGTAAATTAAATATGCATGAACTGACTTTTTGGCCACTTTAAAATGGAGTGGTACAGAGACAACACAAGGGTCCAAGTGGATAATTTGAGTTTCATGTTGTTTCTTTGCAAAAAAAGGAAAACATGTTTTTCTCACTTCTCTTTCAGTTAGTTGTAAGAGAGATACAGACAAATGAAAAGTCACTGCACTGTCTTAACTTCACAAATCAAATTGCAGAATGGTCTTTCTCCTCCTCTTCTTCCTAATTTTTGCAAAATATGTCCAAATAAGGGCATTGTGTGACTGAGGGGTTGGCCACCTCTCCTCTATAAAACTGTCCCCTCCTTCAGCAGCACCTTCACTCCTAACACCGAGAAGAAAACAGAAGAAGTGGACAGCATCCATCAGACATATCTCCCCAACAAAGAGGGTACTTTTTAGCATCTTTGAATTTGCATTTATTACACTGACATGAGTTTGTAGGTATCTGCTGAATTAATATCTCTGTGTGACTACAGAACGCAATTACTGTATTTCACGTGAAAGATAAATGCTATAATGTGTTGCATTTGGTGCAACCACCAAACTTTAGACATATTTTACCTGCTTTGAAGTCTCTGCATGAGGGTATTGTTTTTATAAAATGCTCAATTAATCAATAAACCTGATCTGTGTGCAGATGGCTGGCCTGTGCTGGATGGCGGTGATGCTGGCCGTCTTCCTGTCTGCTGAAAACAGTCTGGCTGTTATGGACCAAAACAGGCTTGCTGCAATTGTACATGGCATCTTGAGAGAGTGAGTCGACTTCTTCTTCATTCATTCCTTTTGAAAGAAACATTATTTTTATTAATGATTAATTTGCAGATAATTTTCTCGATTAATTGAAGAATATTAAAAAATGGCATTCACAATTTCTCAGGGCCCTCCGTGACCCTTTCACTTGCTTGTTCAGTCCAACAGTCCAAACCCTCCAGATATTCAGTTGACTGTTCCATATTATACAAAGGAAACCAGTGGCGTAAGGTAGTAACAATGGGCCCTAGTGCAGGCTGTTTTTATGGGCCCTTGTGTGTTCGTGTCTAGAAGGGAACCCTACACTGTAAAAATAATCCCGTTGTTTTTTTATGGAAAAAACTGGCAGCTGTGGTTGCCAGAAAAAAAAAAACACTGTTGTAAATTAACAACAAAGATAAATTTTACAGGGGAGTTAGGGTGGGTGTGGCCTCCAGTACATTCAGTGACAATGCACAGTAAAACTCTTGAAAGACAAATCTCAGCACTATTTTTTTCTTATGAAGTTAACTGTCTGTTATTAGGAAAAACACAATGACTGTATTGGTTTACCCTTACCCTGAGAAACAAAAAGCTTTACTCACTGTCCAACTCCTGTGCGTGCATCGCTCATCTCCTGTTCATGAGTGAAAACATTCAGCCCTGAGTAACTGAAATTATTATTAGCAATTTTCAGTTCACCATCCGGTGTCGTTAGCTTATCACCAAGATGTCTGCTAGCAAGTCTTGCTTGACTTACTTTTACCCAATGCTGGCTGTTGACTGCCATGACACCTCCACTTGGGCCGCAGGCATCAGGCGGATTCCCTCTCTTGTGCCACATGCTCACACTCCCCTTGGGGGAGCTTGATTGGCAGTCACAGCGTCTGACAGGACCACGGCCACTACCACACCTCCACACGGCCCTGCATCAGGCAGGAGGCACCATCCGATCAAGTCCACCTCATGGTCTGGAGGTTGAAAGGGTGAGATTGTGCGACTTTGGCCTCTCAGATGCAGTAGTACCCACAATCCAAAACACGTCTTCCTCCAGAGCATATACAACACAGTGGCGAGTGTTTTCAGACTAGTGCGAAACCAGGGAACTGAATCCACACTCTTGCCCTATTCAGGGCATCCTAAACTTCCTGCAGAGCTTATATGACAAGGGTTGTATTGCATCCATAACAGGGGTTTTTGCAGCAGTGATCACAGCACTTCATGACGGACCAGACTGGTTCACGGCCTGTAGTCACCCACTGGTCAAACGCTTCCTGCAAGGGACCCGCAGGCTACGGCCACCTGTACGGGGTTGTGTTCCTCAGTGGGTCTTATGGGTACGGCTATTGAACCTCTGGACCAGGCGGATTTAGAAATTCTGTCACTAAAGACAGCTCTTCTCTTAGCTCTGATGTCAGTCAAGGGGCTGGGGGACTTGGGTGCTCAACCAGGGTGGATTGTGATGCTTGTGTATATCTTTCATGGGATGTGAGCCAAAGCTGGATAGCTGGAAACAAAACAATATACTGATTCCAGCTGGGAGTACATCTTATCCCCATAGCCTTCGCCTAGGTGTGAACCAATTCATAGTTTTCACTTAACGTCACACTCCAATGAAAACGCTCCCTTGGAGGGCAAAAAGATGTTAATTTCCGATGCTTGCCAACCGATATGCAAGTGATACACTGTTACTTTGAGTTTGATACTTTTGCGTTGCCAAAATGCTGGATGGTAGTTGCACTTTCGGATTTACTAATTGAGGAGGAGGAGACAAGTCTGACCTGTGTTAAAATAGGTAAAAATAGGCTAAACATTACTGCAGTCAAGCGGCGGCAGGGACCTGGCGGTTTTTAACTGTAGAAATGTGGCAGCGGATGCTGTAACGTTATATGGATCGGATATGCCCAACACTTGCAGTTTGTGATCCAAATAAAATTTGACTGCTTTTGCGGTGACTCTATGGGGAGTCACAGTGTGAGAGCCACTATGTTGATCTGTTGTTTTGCCCTCCAGGTCACAGCGCATGTCACATGACTGAAAACTTAGCGATAGCCTAGCTGGAACTAGTGTCAGTGCTGAGTTTCAAAAGGAGATGAGCAATGCACGCACAGGGGTTTCATTGGGCTCCGATTTTTGCCCCTCAACTGCCCCAAGCTTTTTGTTTCTAAGGGCAATGAGGCGCAGCCTTGAAGGATAAAACAATAGCGAAGCCTGTCATATTAACTGTAAATTATAATGTGTGAATTTGTAAAGAGGAATACGGTTTCTTTCTGTATATCAAATAATCTACCTAAAACAAAAAACATGATTTTTACACTCTTACGTTGTAATTTTTACTGCATTGTATTGCGTATTGTATTACAGTTTATCTGCGTTTAAACTACAGTCATCTGTAAATTGTACAAATAAATATGATACTTATCTTACTTTAAAATTAACAGTTGTGTTTGGTTCAGTGTTTAGCAAAATATTACTGCAAATAAAACATTGCTTTACTGTTTTTGTATTAACAGTATTTTTATGTCATCATTTTACTGTTAATTTCACAGACTTTTTTTACAGTGTAGATTATATTATACCTATATATTATACTCAGCTGAGAGCAGGAGGTGTCCACTGTGCTGAAATGATGCAGACATTTTCTGCAATTTCAGTACAATAACCTCCTGAATCACGACAACCACATTTCTCTTCCACAGAGAGGCAAGACATTATGTTGAATAAGAAAGAAAAGTGGCCTGAAAGCAGACCAGCAGTCAGATTTTGCGTTTCATCCAGTTTCTGGAGTCGTGTGGTCTTGTCACATGATCAAATTGAAACTTATTGAAACTAACTATTCCGCATTCATTTACATATTACCCAGCAATCATCACTGCATATGTGGGCTATGTGACACGAACACCAAAGAAAATAATACTAAATTCATTCTGTTGAATCAGTGGAATCATTTATTTAATATTTCACCATATACCTTATAGCCTACTGCTTGCTACAAGCATCTGTGATGTCAGACACCATGGGAAAGGCAGAAATGCACATATGAGTGTATATATAGCACTTAATCGCCTAGGAAGTGTGTGGTTTGAGGGGAAGTGGGCATGAACTGTTGAATAATGAGAGTTGATGCATTTTTACCAAACAACCGACAAAGACCACCTCGTAACTCAGCGAGGCCGCTCCCGTCAAGGACCCCAGTGCCGCTGCACTACACCTACGCCCCAGAAGGAAACAGACAAAAAATCCTCACAGCTGAGGAGCTGGAGCCAGATAACAATTACCATCTTGCTTGGAAAATTACTTAAATAATTAATAGATTATTAAAATAGTTGTTGATTAACTTTGTCGGCCTAATTGTTAAATTGAGTAAATGTTGTAACTCTGACTGACTGGTTTCCAAATACCTTTCACCCGTGTGCTCGCATTGTGCTGCTTGTCTCAATTTTGAGCCTGTGTTACTTGCACAACACAGTGTGAAGTGTTGTGCAAGTAGTCAATAAGATGACAAAATTATCTTTTCAAGTGTGATCCACACATCTGTTTAGCCTAAAGTAAGTTATGGCAGGACCTGACATTTTGGTTTGTCTGTTTCTTAGGTACAGAACTAGAGGCATGTTCAGTTTAGCTATAAGAATCCCAGACAACCAGAACCAGAACCTTAAGCAGATTCTTCAGCAAGTCTTCGGAAGTGATCCTGGTAACAATGTGAAGAATACAATCAACAGTGGTGAGGTGTACATCGGCAACAGGGTGGTCGCAGCCAAAGTCCTGCAGCGGCCGACTGGAGGAGCTGAACACGCAGAGTCACGTGTTGTGGACCACTTGGACCACTTATTCAACAGTCGCAATGCTAACGATCACGATTGGTTGCTTTTCTATGTTTATGCCTCCCCTTGTGTTGAAAAGTGTTCAAGCAACAGACATCGTGAGAGCATTCTCCAAAGATTAAATCACATCCGTCAATGGGATAATTATGCTGTTGTGTTTTCTACAATTTTCATACCCAGAACTGGTCAGCCCAACACTGACCGACAACGGAGTGCAGCTCTTCAGCGCATCGGGAGTTCAGTTGGTCTGGACAACATATTCCGTTGTGCCAGACAAGATCATAGGATGCAGTGCACCAGCTGCTCCGTTGGTGGTCAGGTTGCACCTTACTGTGTTAGCAATAGTTAACAGCCTGGTTCCAAACTGTCCTCCTCTTCAGGTTGAGGGCAGCGGGCTCACAGTGTCACTGTGGTAGAAACTAAACACTGGCTATTGTGGGTCAAGCCACTGTTGGATTGCCCTCCAACATGATTTTAACTATTACTGCTCCTAAGCCATTCTTTGTCTAAACCGAGTCTCTGCTCCTAATACAATCCTCCCACCACATCAGTGTGCGTCCCTGTAGGTTTGTTAGAACCTGAACTAGAGTGCATGCAAGTCTCATGAACCCACTGAGACTGAGATAAAGAAATGATTTATACTTAAAATGCGTTTTTTTTTATTTCATACTACAAGATTGTATCTAAATAATTTGTTATAATTCAATAACTTCCATCTACTTGCCCAGTGACCCAGAAAGTGGCACCACTAAATCCATCAATACATATCCAAATTTGGATAGTGCAACATTCCTATTTTGTGGGTTTTGTTTCCCCGTTTACCTGTTTTATAAATCAACCTCAGTATTTACAGTTCATGTCACTGTACTCTATATACTTCTGTATACTTCTGTTAAGGATCACCAAGTCCTCTGATTTTCTGATTAAAGCTTGGCTCAGCATCCATCCGTCTGTTTGTGAATCATTTGGGAACCCTTGCAGTAATATTATGTGTAACACAGTTTTAAACATGTAGGCAAACAGTGAAGATTATTATTACTCCACTCTTCCTTCATCTGGTGAGGTTCAACTGTGTCTGTAAAGGAGAGATATTTGATAACATATCACTCATTTTGGTGTGCTGTAAAGTTTTGATCCACACTGAAATATCTCAATTATTTTTACGATTGCAACTAACAACTCTTGCCATGAAGTTTATGGTCCGCAGAAAATTCATCCTAATGATTTTGATAATCCTCTGACCTTGTAGTGTCAACAGCTGGTCTATGTTTTCACTTATCCAGTGACAGATTTCTTTCTACCTTTTACAGAAAGTCCCACAGCACCTCCATGAGGCTGACATTTGTAGTTGTATTTGATGGACAGAATTTTTTAAAGACATTTGTGTCCCCCTAAGGCTGAATTTTAATACCTTTGGTGATCCCCTTACTTTTTCCTCAGGTGCAAGTTATTGTCGAGCAGGCCTACTTATGATTTTGACCAAATCCCTGCAAGGCCGATATTCCCTGTGTTAGTACTGATGTTTAGCACAGCTATTAGCATGATAACATGCTAAACAAATCACCAGTGTGTCTTAAAGAACTGCTAGCATGGCTGTAGATTCAGAAGAAATACAGAGTAAATACAGAGACGGCACACTGGGTAACAGAGTATGATTACATTTGCGTCTGTCCCCTTTAGTTTTCAGTCGAGACAAAGACAAAAGACCTCTGCCTGAGGATCTCAAGGTACGTGCTGCTGCGTATGGAACTAAAAGTTCAGAAATATAACGAGGCGAGAAGTCATGAAGACCTTTAAAAGTGATCAATAAAATGTGATGCAACCATATGTCTGTTTTGGTTTAAAGCAGGCAGCTGAGTTCTGGCAGTCTGGAATTTTTGAGTTAAGCAAATGAAAAGGCTGTTGCAGTAATCCAGATGTGATGATATAAAGGCGTGTAGGATGGTCTCAGTGTCCTTAAAAGTTAACATAGATCGAATTTTTGAGATGTTTCTAAGCTAGTAACCTCACAGCACAAGTGTAGGAGGCAGTAACATGACTCTGTATTTCCTTGTGTATTTCTGATGAAATCTCCATCTTCAATCTGCAAGTCAGGATGAAGAGACCGATTTGGCAATACTGTCCAAAGCACAAAAAGTTCCTCAGAAGTTTTTAGTCTCTTTTCTCTCATTATTTTGGTTTGATGGTGTATTTCATGTCTGGTTCAGTCTCAGCGCTCTCATTATCCTTGCTTCCAGCAGCAGCAGACAACAGCTCTGATAAACCCGCTGTCCTCTACCTGCCCAGCACCAAACAGCAGACACACACATTTAGACACTAGCTGGTTAAGAAAGAGTAAGTTGCTGGAGACCAAAACATTTAACAGTTTAACCAGTGAGGATTCTCTGTGCTGATTTCCACATGCAGAGAGTTACAGAAGTCGAGATGTGAAGTAATAAAAACAAGCAAGACTGTCTCCTGATCTCATAGAGAGGAAAGGTTAAGAGTTTATTTGTTACATTTTAAAGCACAGTCAAGAATTGCATCCAGAGTTCCCAAAATAAGAACCTCTTTCCTACCCTGATTAAATACATGGCTATCCAGCATTTGACATCCTTGAGAATACATTTCGCCTCCAAAGCTCACGAGTGAGGGCTACGTGACAGCACAAATGATTCTGCCTATGTTGAACTTCCTAAAACTGCAGAAGCTTTCATATGTTCTTCCTTATACATAACACAGAGACATGTTCAACTAAGGACATGAGGGTTTGGCCATGGTCAGGCACTCCTCTATAAAAATGTAACGTCCTTCTAACTTTTTTCACTCAGACAGCACCTTGCACTGTGAAGGATCAACAGCATCTGATAGACGTCTTTCTCCACCAAAGCAGGTAAAAGATTTTCACTTCTAATACTCCCTGAAAGTTCAGAGAGAGTCAGAGTACTAGGTGCTGTGGGTACATCATTTTCTCGAATCTTTCAAAGTCTATCTAGTGTAAGATTCCCTGTTTGTATTTCCCTGGACGGTGTTTCTGTGCTGCAGTGGAGGGCTAGTAAAACAAATGAATAACATGCTAATGAGATTACACCTTTCATATACTAAATATGTGAACATATCCTTTTAAGAATTGTTACTTATAAGTTGTGTGTCTTTTCTGTTTTTAGATCCTGCTGGCAGCAGCAGTGAAGGTGAGCAATGTCATTCAAGGCACTTTATTTTAAATGCTAAATGGTTAAGTCAGTGATCTTTTATCTTGCTCCTTCGTAAACATCTGCAACTACTGCATAGTCAACTTGGATTCACAGCACAGGGTACCCACAGGATCCTCAGAGTTCAATTTAAGACCTTTTTAATACCACCTAAGATGAAATGTAATACTAACATCACTGCCATATAATGGAAATCAGTATGAATTTTAAGCCAGAGAAAATAATTATTAACCAAGTTTCCTGATTTTAAGAAAAACATTTTAATATAATATTCACATTCAAATTTAATATATAGCTTTTTGAGGTGTGTTTGTACTCTAATAACATAAAATGAATAAAATATTTGTCGCATCAAGATTTTATATCCATGTTGTTTCTCAGCATATAGCCTATCTTGCGTTTTCCCCCCGCGAGGTGCATTCAGTTCTCAGCAGGCATGCAGAACTCAGCACAACACCGGCACATCTGGATAATGTAACATTAAGTTAGCTGAATGTGCATTAGCATTTTGGATGTTACCATTTACATAACTAACAGTGGAGCAACGCCGACACTCAGACACTGTCCTCGTCTCCCCTTTCTGCTGTTGTAACTGACCAGGAACTTGCAAGCGGTCACTGCCCAACTTGTCCACATCTCTGGCTTTCTGACCTTCAGACACCTGCCCATTAACGGATGTTTTTTTTTCTTTCCTAACAACTGAGTGACTCATGGCAGAGCTCGTGCACCGCAAACCGGGGCTGGACAGGGACAGTTTTGGCCCACCAAAATCAGTCGGATATCCCTCACCAATACACCATCCTTGCTTTTAAGGACTTAGATTAGCGGTTTGACAAAACTCTTACCCCACGAGACTTGACACTGCCATGACAACAAGAAAATAATATATTTTAATAGGCTTAGTATTTGGGGGAAAAACGCATAACGCAAGGAACAAAGAGCAGAGAGGCAGGTACATAAAGGTGCATATGCCAGATTACCAATCCAGCCCTGCTGCAAACACTCCACACTCAAGAGCGTGAAGATAAACTTTGACATAAACAGTACCTGTACTGTCATAACATCCAAGTCACTCTGAGTAAATTGTAAAGTCGCACACAAAAAATACTTATTTATGATGTTAAGGCATTTATTTAATTCTACGAAAGGACAAGAAAAGATTTAAGACTTTTGTAAAGTAAATTTAATACTTTCAAGGCCTTATTTTTAGAATGAGTTTTTTTATAGCCTACTTTTTATACCCCGCCGGTACAGTTACAATGGCTTCTTACAGTAACACAAAGTAGCTGAGCTGAACTGTTCGTGTCCGTGTAAATTTGACCCCAATGTAGGCCTACCAACTGTACAGTTAGCTGTGAACTACTTAGTAAAAGACATTTCATGTTTAGCCACCAGGTGGAGATCAGTTGACTGCTCTGGGTCTCTCTTCATCTGACTGACCAAGACATTATGGTGACAGGACTAATAAGTGAGAAACAATGGTGGGGGAAAATATGAATATGAGTGGTAATAAAGTAAGATAAACATCTCTGTTCTGAGTTACTCAGTCAGTCCCTCCAGGAGTTCGGGGCCTTTTTTGTGATTGTTGTGACCTAAAATGCCTGATTTTGTGGCAGTTTTTCTAAAAAAATTGCGATGAAAGTTGTGATGTTTTGGGGCGTTTCTTTGCAATGGAATTGTGGAAATAAGTGACAGCTGCAAAGTTAGATGTGTGCAGGTCTAACCTGACACTGCACATTTAAACCAGCTTTCCACGATTCTTTGCAATAGATGATTTTATTTAATGTCCGACCACAATACTGCACGCTTTGCACAACAGTTTGCCCTCGCTTTGGTAAAGAAGATCTGCATGCTATTTTTCACTGTCTTTTTTATTTTTTGTCCGCAAATGTGAGACGTTGGTATCACACATGTCCGCTGTGTCTTGTGAGCAAGGAAGTGACAAGCTGATGTATGATGTGTGTTTTGTGGGAAATAGGTCCACTTTGCAGAAATTAAGAGATCCCACTTATGTCCTCATATCTCTGGTTGTTGTGGTGTTGCTCATTAGAAACCATCAGATTTAATCCAATTACACAGCTGGAGAGCCATTTCTGAAGGATGAGTATGGGATGCAGTTTGTAAAAGTTTGACTTTAACTATTACTCACTTTCTCAAGATTTCTTCAGCTGTAGCCTCACTAAAGGCAGCATGTGGTGGAAGAATATACATTTTGAGATGCGTCTTGTTGTCATTCTTATCCCTGATTCTAATCCTCTATGCTGGTGCTGTTTGTCTATCACTCTCAGATGGCTGTCCTGTGCTGGATGGCTGTAACGCTGGGTTTGTTCCTGTCTGCTGGAAACAGTTTGGCTGATGTGGACCAGAACAAACTTGCGGGAATTGTAACAGAGATACTGAAAAGGTGAGTCATAATTTTTCAAGAATAAAAAGGGAAAAACGGATACTTATTATGATTTGCTAATCCAATTCTCATTCTCATAATAAATACCAGACAGGTTGACCATCTTCAGCTTCCTTTTCACAAAACTAAACAGTATTCCAACAAATTAAGCTCATTATCAAGAGCTCACTAACTTTTGAAAATAATTTAATTGGAGATGTATAATTAGTTCCGGATGTATGTCCAATCCTTTTTTTGCTTTTATAAATGTATTTTATGATAAAAATGTCTGCTGATTTGATGAACTCTTCAGTCCATCAAGGGTGTTTCTCATGGCCAGTTATTTTCTTTCTATTTTGCTAATTCGTGTT